ACCACAATACCGACAAGTGATTAATAAAAGTCAAAAGACCAAAGAGGTCACCTTAATACCAAAAAAAAAAAAAAAAATTAAATCTAGTGCTAATCCTAACCAAAATGTTAAATTGAGAGGTTTCAAAGTTAACCAATAAGTGATACATTTTGAAAATAATTAAGATTTTTTCAATAAAATTTTTGCTATATTGAATTTTAAATCAGAAAAATAAATAAGATTTTTTGATATTAACTTTGAAACCTTCTATTTTAAAAAAAACAATGATATGTAATAATCAAAAAATTTCAATCAATAAAAGTGTAAAGTGAAATTAGTAATGCATTGAGGCAATGTCAGGATTTTAGTAGTGTTAGCATTTTGGTTGTATTGGAATTCTACTGGGATTTTTGTTGTATTAGGATTGTAAGTGTTGGAATTCTTAGTGTCTGGATTTTGAGTATTGGAATTCTGAGTGTTGGGATTCTGTGTTTCAGTATTTTGAGTATCGGAATTCCGTATGCCAGGATTTTGAGTGTCGGATTCTGTGTATCAAGATTTTGAGTATTGGGATTCTGAGTGTCAGGATTTTGAATGTCTGGATTCTGTGCATCAGAATTTTAAGTGTCAGGATTTTGATAATTTTGGGATTTTGAGTGTCAGAATTTTAATATTGTCAGGATTTTAATTTGTTGAGATTTTATGTATCAGGATTTTGTTTCCGGGATTTTGTGTGTTGGGATTTTAAGTGTCAGGATTCTGATATACAACCCAAATTTTCAACGTACTTTTCTTCTGGATTAACCATTAATTCTAACATTCACTAACATTACAAACAGTCGGGACGGGTGAAGGAAGTTTACTGTTCAGATCCTCCACATTATTTTTACAGAAGCCTCATATATATGCATAAATCAGAATCAAAAGACACTCAACAATTGAAATCAAAATGAATCAACCTTTTTGTGTAGTGATTTAAGACTTTAAATTGCTTTTGTTCTGACAATGATGTTTGTAAAATTTCGCTATACAAAATTTTAAACCTCTGTGACCTCTGTAATTTAATAATTTTGGGAATTTCATTATAATCATTGTTGCAATCCTTCGATGTGTGCCAGTTTGTGGCGCAGCAAAATTCTTTAAAGTTCGTTTATGTTAGGGTTAGGTTCAGAGTGGATCAGAGAGGAGTAGTTCATATAGTAAATTGCCCAACGAAAGCTTTTTATTAGAGCATTAAAGGTGATTTCCTATGCTGATTTTTGAGAAGTGGACAAAACGAACGTTTGTTTTGAATTTTCTTGATGATCGTGTTACGTTACGCCTGACCTTGAATTCGGTGTTACGTTACGCCTGACCTTGAATTCGGTGTTACGTTACGCCTGACCTTGAACTTGAATTCGTAGTTTAGGAAATCTGCGCCACAAACCTGGCACACATTGATGAATTGCATCATTATCTTTTATTCACATGAATAGTGGCGTGATTATATCAGGTGAAAATCATTGTTCACCGTTTTGATTGATAAACACACCTTTTCTCGATGTTTTAACGGACTAAGTTTTTAAGTTTCTTGGGTAATTCTCTTTATATATATTTTGTATATTTCTCTTCAAGAAAAAGGATGCAACGTGTTATCGCTTTTGGTGGCTTTAAATGTGCATTTACGAGATATGTGCAACGAAGGGTAAAAATAAAAAGCTTTTTAACCAAGATGAATTCATAAATTTTCATATAAAGTTACAGAAAATTTGAATGTTTGAATAAAAAGAAATAAAATGAATTGGAATTTAAATCGTTTTTTTTTAAGATTCAAAGATTTTCTATCTACTTTTGTTTTTATGAACTTATTAGACGGTCTCCTCTTTTAATCGAACTAAAGTTCCTTTGGACAAAGAATGGGTTGAACTTGCTACAAAGGAATTAAAGGGTAAAGATCCGGAAAAATTCCTAGCATGGCATACCGCAGAAGTAAATATAGTTTCTATTAGTTAAAATTGTCCGATTTTAATAATCAAGTCAATCATTTATTTCGCAAAACTCATAGGGAATAGATGTGAAGCCTGTTTATACGAAGGCAGATGCTGAACTCATTAAAGATGAAATCCCGGGAAAATTTCCTTTTACAAGAGGTCCATACGCTTCTATGTATACAGCAAGGCCATGGACTATTCGACAGGTGACGATCGTTTTCTATGATTATAATCAAATTACGATTTATTTACATTATTATACTTAAAGTATGCAGGGTTCAGTACGGTGGAAGAGTCAAATGCCTTTTATCGAAAAAATTTGGCTGCAGGCCAACAAGGCCTTTCTGTTGCGTTTGATCTAGCGACGCATAGAGGGTAAATTCAAAAATAATTATATCTTTCATAATTGCGTATATATATTATCAACATTTCCTATTTATTTATAACGTTTAGTTATGATTCGGATCATCCGCGCGTAGTAGGTGATGTTGGCATGGCTGGTGTTGCTATTGATTCAGTAGAGGACATGAAGGTTTGTCTAAGAATTTAGGCTTACTCAATTCCTATAAACGTAGATGCTTTTATAATATTTTCTGAATGATAGGTTCTTTTTGATGGAATTCCGCTTAAAACAATGTCTGTTTCTATGACAATGAACGGTGCCGTGTTACCAATTTTGGCTATGTACATAGTCGCGGGCATAGAACAGGGTGCTCAATTAAAAGAATTGTCTGGCACTATACAAAATGATATTCTGAAGGAATTTATGGTTCGAAATACATTCATATACCCGCCAGAACCATCAATGAAGTTAATTGGTGATATTTTTTCTTACACTGCAAAGGTTTGTTCTAATTAGTGATTTTGTTTCAGAATGCTTTTATTTTATTTATTTTTGGTTTATGCAGAATATGCCGAAATATAATTCAATTTCAATATCTGGATATCATATGCAAGAAGCTGGTGCTGACAATGTTCTTGAACTAGCTTTCACAATTGCTGATGGTTTAGAGTATGCTAGAACAGGTAAAGATCATTAAGACTTTAAACTATAGTTTAATAGTTTATTACATCTAATGCTTCATATAAAATTTCAATAGGTCTTAAAGCAGGAATGACAATTGATCAATTCGCTCCAAGATTATCTTTCTTTTGGGGTATTGGAATGAATTTTTATATGGTAATTATAGTAAATTTATGATTTTTAACTTTATTTAAATTGCTAACATTTACTGCCAACTTTCATAAATAAATAGGAAATTGCAAAAATGAGGGCAGCTCGCCGCTTATGGGCTCATATGATTCAAGAACATTTTCATCCAAAAAATCAAAAATCATTAATGTTACGTACACATTGTCAGACATCTGGTTGGTCACTTACTGAGCAGGTAGGTTCCTATTTGTTAAATTCTTGTTATTTAGAAAATATTAACATTGACTAATTATTATAGGATCCATATAATAATATTATAAGAACTACTATAGAAGCAATGGCCGCCACATTAGGAGGGACACAATCCCTTCATACGAATTCATTTGACGAAGCGGTGGGTCTTCCGACAGAAACCTCAGCTAGAATTGCGCGAAATACACAAATTATTCTCCAGGAAGAAGCTTTTATTCCAAAAGTTGCAGATCCTTGGGGAGGTAGTTATATGATGGAAAGTTTGACAGATAATATCTATTATTCTGCAAGAGAACTTGTGGAAGAAATAGAGAAAATGGGTGGTATGGCAAAAGCTGTTGCAAGTGGTATGCCAAAGTTAAAAATTGAAGAAAGTGCGGCTCGAAGACAGGCCAGGATTGATTCTGGTCAAGGTCAGTTTTTCATTTTAATTCGTATTTCTATTTGTATCCAAATGAATACATATTTCTGTGAAATTTTAGAGACAATTGTTGGAGTAAACAAGTATCGGCTTGAAAATGAGACCGTGATTGAAGTCCGTACTATTGACAACACTAAAGTAAGAGAAGAACAAATTCAACGCATAAATGAAGTCAAGGCGGCGAGAGATGAGGCTCGAGTTAGTATATAAAATATCCGGTTCAATAATATTAAATAATGCTTATATATAATATATATATAATATATAAATATATATAATTTTTGTTTAGGCACAAAATGCATTAAGCGCTTTAGAAGAGTGTGCAAAGACGGAAAATGGCAACTTACTGGAATTAGCTATCGAGGTATGTAAATCATTTAAATCAATGACTTGGTCTATAATAATTCGAATTACACAGTAATCTGAAAATTTTGACATTAAAGGCATCAAGAGCACGATGTACTGTTGGTGAAGTATCATATGCACTTGAAAAAGTATGGGGACGTCATGAACCAACAAGTCGTGTTGCTAGTGGTGCTTACAAATCTGCTTATGGAACTGCGGAAGAAACAGAAGAAACAATTAAATTAGTAGAGGTTAATATTATATTGTATTTAGTTATTGCAATTTAATTGTTGAAAATTATCAGTAAATATACTCACATTAATTTATACTATAAAGCAAACGAAAGAAATATTGGGTGTTAACCCAAGAATTTTGGTTGCGAAATGTGGTCAAGATGGACATGATCGAGGGGCCAAAGTGATTGCTTCAGCTTTCAGCGATTTTGGATTTGATGTCGATTTATCTCCATTATTCAGTACGCCTGAAGAAGTAGTACGTCAAGCCATTGATAATGATGTCCATGTGATTGGAGTTTCTTCACAGGCTGCTGGGCATAAAACACTGATACCGGCACTTATAAATGAACTTAAAAGACTTGGTATAAATGACAAAGTTGTGGTAGTTGGGGGTGTTATTCCACATCAAGACTATAAATTTTTATACGATGCAGGAGTAAGTTCAATATTTGGACCTGGTACTAAAATTCCCGAAGCCGCTAAAGAAGTTATCTTAAAAATTCAGCAAAAGATAAAAGATGATCCTTTACCATCCGAAAAGTCTGTTAATTTAAGTTAGTCTGTTTAAATATAAATATAATTTTATAAGACTTTTAATTAATTGACTGCTAAAAAGTTTTATCTGTATTGTATATAATGAAACTTTGTTTCAATCAAGACATTAAACTAAGTAATATTATGTATAACTAGTAATATCTATCCATCCTTGAGAAGGTTTCTTTCAACTGTTCATTTATTAGTGGAAATATGTTTGCCAAATGCTTTTTTTATTCATGTATAGATAAAAGAAAGTCGACACATTAAACCTTTTTAATGTTAGCTAGAGGAAAACTTTTTGTTATGCATTTGAGTAGCGTCGAAAGAAAATCAATCTTCAGGCTTTCAAGTTTATCTTGATCATTTAGAACCATATAATACGTACGTAATTTAACGTATATATCTGATATATATTGCATGTCAGCGCTGAGTCCGGTAAATAACAACTTGAAAGTCAGAAGTTTGGTTTTCCCTTAGCGTCACTCATTTCATTTATTTTTTTTATGCAACTTATTATTATAGTGTAATCAGGATAAATATGTTATTTCTTTAAATTTTAAATTACAACATTGGCATACAAACCAAATGGAAGATGATAATTTTCGTGTAGAGTTAATGGAATGTGCAAAACTCTTGAACCTACCAAATGATGGTATTAAATTAATCAATTGTCTTTATGCCTGAATTTTAATAAATGATATTAAATTTAATTTTTTGACATTATTCGTTTTTTAATTCACGGTAAAATCAAAAAGATTATACACAAAAACTAATTGAGCAAATTCCGTTAGATTACTTTTATGTACCACAAGATGAAAAAGAATCTATTTTACTTTTATTTTCTGAAAGCGAAAAATCTATAAAGCATCAATTATTAGGAAAATTGTGTTTAAATGATTTGGATGCAACTACTGTCTTTGCAGAGGTGTTAAACGACCTCAAGATTCAAGATTTAAATCTGTGTTGTGACATTTATGAAGGTATCAATTAACTTCTTCAATATAAGAAAAAATTACTTTTGAATTTTATATTTTTCCTTTTGTTAAAAGATGTAGCAACTCGCGAATCTTATTTTATGGAAGAACCATTACTTCCCAGTCGCATACAAAAGAATAATGAATTCGATTTGTATCCTATACCGACTTTAAAACAATTGTCAAACAAACTACCAACTACGGACATTTTTTCTGAACCTTTAATGGAAAGCGAAATGCAACAATTTACATTGGATGATTTGTGGTATAATATTCTTTAATCTGGTATCAGCTTACAAAATTTTCATTCAGAATTGTTAAAAAATTTTTCTTTTTATCTAACAAGTTTATCTCATAATGAAGAAGTGGTAGATAATATTGCCAGTATTATGTCATTCTTAAAGGAAAATGACGTTCGCAACGATAATGATTTTGTTATTTCTATCAAAGAATTTAAGTTTGAGGATTATTACATTGAAGAACCCCTAATTTCAATAAAAACTAATAAAAGCGCACAAGATCTGCCAAATAAAATAATTGAAATTGTTCCTCTGATTATAGATGATATTGATATAAATATTCAGAATGATCAATTAGTTCCTGAAGAAACTGGTGTTAAAGCACCTTTAGAGATGTTGAATGAATGGGGTAGTGTATACGATTTTCATTATCCATGTTTCGAATTATTCCATTGCTTATTCATATTATCTTATTAAGAAGGGATTGATAAATCAACTTTTGATGTTGAAAGAACTTCAGACTATAATTATGTAGAAGTTGATGTATCATTTGATCCATTTTTGACTTCCCGAGAGACCCTTCAATTAGGTATATATACGTATTTGGCATTTATTCTACCTAAACGACCATAAATATGTAAAATGACTTATAAGTCTATTTGTTTGACAAATGAAGAACCCGCAATGATCCCTGCAAGATATGATCCTTTGGAGATCAATCGTAGAAAACGGCGGTAAAGAGATATTCAGTGTATTACTGTTTGCTATCTTAATTCTGTATTCAAGATTAATTTTGTTCAAGAAATATCAATAATAATATTTAGTAAAACCGATTTTGGATCAGAGATTGAAAATGCGGGTGACAAAGACGTGACAATGTATCTTTTTATTTCATGTACTTTTCTTTTCACTAAAGTATGCATAACTTATAAACATCTTGACCTTTAGAACGGACTCTTTGGCACAAACAATCAAGTCCGTAGTATCTGAAGATGCTACCTTTATGCATCAGAAATTAGATGATCAAACAGCACTTCAATCAGACCTTGAGAAGATGCTGAAGGTTGAAAACCCAGACGAAAACTGGAAATCCGTCATTATGTGGCAATCCATGAACGAACTAGAAGGATTAAAATTCAAGGGTAATTTAATGAGTTGAATTGCAATATGGGTGAGCATGCAAGCTAATGATCACATGGATATATAAAAAATTAATGCTAATGATTAAATTACCGCGCTCACCTATATTCCAGTTCACCTATTTGATGATTTATGATCGTAAAAGTTTATTAAAATGTTAATTTTCAATTTTTTTTTAAAAAAAAAAGTTCCACAGCTACCCCATCCTGTCTCTCAAATCACCAGGGGAAGTGTAAATGATGATGATGGAATTTCATTCCCTTCAATACCAACACAAATTTCAGACTTGATTGCACATCCAAATTCAATGCACTCTGATTTTCAAATCTTGACATCATTTAGTGGAATGAAAGCTTTGGAGTTTGAGTTACATTGGAATCCAATTAAAAATACCTCTCACACAGAATTTGAACAAATCTTTAATGTGAAGCTTTCATCCCAAGAGATATTAGATGTTTTTAAAGAACTATGTAGTTGTGCTAACGATGATGATATTTTGGATACAATAGATATGCAATTCATCAATGAAATTCATGATTCATATCTGATAACAAGGAAAAAAATGTATGAAAGTTGCCATGAGTCGAAAAAATTGAAAGTTGAAGATGTTCCTGCTTTGATAACGCCAAGGTGGATCAACAATAACAATGACTTTAAGGATATACAGAAATCTTCCGCCGAACCAAATATTGTCAAATCTAGGTATTTTGCTGACACTTTTTCTGCAACCAGGTCGATAGATGATTTCTTGATCCTGCGTGGAAAAATTGCACCAAATAAACGTCGAGATATTGATTTAAAAAAAAGGGTTCATGTTGCAATTAAAAATGGAGAAGGTAAATCAACTATTCTTTAGCATTTATCTTGAGGAAACAATTTATAAATATTAAGGAATTTCGCAAAAGAATCGAAACAAATAGTTCCCAGTGTCAGTAACACGCCAAATGATCATGCATATGGATATACTAGTTATACGCACAGAGTCCCTTCTTCGGAGTCGCAGCTTACTGACAGTGATAAGGATATTCAAGACGCGCAGAATGCTCATGTTAGTAAGTATTCTAGGACAATTTATTTCAGAACTCATAATGACAGAACATGCAGCATGATAATATATCCATATGTTCCAATAGTGGCAAGGACCATCATCAATAATATGCCAATGCCGGCAGTTACTCATAAATATATCGTATCGGCCCGACTTTTGGCAAATCGTGGCCTGTTATCAGCTTTAAAAGGCATTTATTGCAAGGTTGAAGTTTTTGAACGCGATTTCGAATATTTAAGAGTAAGTTATTGAAATTTGTATATTATTCATATTATTCTATATCAATTTAACAAACGTCTGTCAAATATCCTACAGCCTTTATTACCAGATGATGAATCAGAAACTCCTTACATAGACTGCGATCTGATTATAGATGAAAGGACTGGGATTATATATTATCCTCTCAATTTAATATCTCAAGAGCAATCCGTCCCAATCATCGCTCGAACAATCATTCGCCTTGCACAAAAATATTCAAGCTTATATGTGATTTTGGAGACTTACACATGGAATAATAAAGCAACTAATGACAGTGATGCAGAATGCATTCTTCCATATTCATATACTTTGCCTGTTTTAAAGGCTGTTGCAGGATTGCAAGCCATCTTAACGCGTAATTCGTGTGATGCACATATGATATTTTCTTCATGTGAAGAAATGTCCGCACGACTTGCGAGATTGATAGGTGATCTCTGTGCTTCAAAGTGTGAAGAAGAAAGAGGGAAAGATCGCCAGCAGTGGGAGAGTAGGGATTGGATGACTATGGAAGAAAGTTTGGTAATATTTTAATTTTCTGTTATTTGACGAGAATATATGTCTAACTTGATTTTTTTTATTTTTTTTTATTTATGAAATCAAATAAAGCATGAAAGATTTTTATCATGCTTTTCTCCACTGATTAATCCATTCACCGCACAAATTATCTTAACTGCCATACCCATGCCCGAGTTCCTCCGAATGACACATAGTGAGCGATATGCAATGTTTGGTAGATGGATAGATGAGTGGCGATTGGTAAGTCATGGATCTTTTATCTATAAATACTTGCAACTATTGAAAATTTTTTTTTTTTTTGGATACCAGGAAAAATTTGAAACAATAATACACACAGCCCTTTCAGGCAATCCTGAACAATTGTTTACAAACGATGAACCTGAAGTACACATTGATGACAATCAAATGGATTCTGAATGGATCAATGAATTTAAAGACTTTGAATTGGAGGAGTTTTATGACTAAGCGAGTTTATAATATTGTTTATGCTTTTTAAATAATTATTATTTAAGACAAAACACAAATGTTATAAATACATTTATGAACAATTCTCAAATTCTTATACATATAGCGGAGGATTTCTACGCGTGGTGATACAAAACATCCTTGATATGTTCGATTTAAAAAACATCAAAAAAGTAATTTCGAATTTCCTTGTCTGTCCACACACGTGATCTAAAATGTAAAATCAAAAAAAGTACGTTTGCTCCGGGCTAATAACGGTTTCCGTTTCCTAGCTATATATTATTACATATAGTCAGACCCTAAATGCAGCTCATAGGAATCAAACTCTGACAATGTGTTTATAAAACAATGCATTTATGAGAGTCAAGCATATATATATATATGGACTTTATTTCAGTGATAATTCATTTTACAACTACATTCACTTCTTCATCGGTTTTTTCATTTTTATTCGTCGTCTTTCGTCTAAGAAATCCTCTTGAAAATTTACGCTTACTTAAATTTGCGGAACCCCACCTCCAACGAACATATCTTTTTACTTCATCCTCCTCTTCGTCATATTCAGGAATAATATGATTTTCGCAATTGCCAAATAATGGTGCATTCCACTTTAATCTACCATATGTTTCTACAATTACCAGGAACATGGATAAAGTTGATATAACGATCATTAGGTTTAGAGAGTTTAGATGTGCAAGTGGTAATAGTATATATAATGTGCCAATAATAAATCGTAATAATATACGCGAAGCCTTTAAAAAATGGTCACATTTATTAATATGCAATATTTTAACCATGAAAAAACAGACATTTACAAATAGTAATATCATTGTTCACCTTTGAAATTTTGGTACAATTTACAGAGTCCAAACTTTTATGTAAAATGCCGATAATAGCCATACAATACATTGAAACTGCTAATGAAGTGCAGAACAATATTGCAAGTGGAGTTGAAAATTCGGAGCTTTCTGTTTCCCCTGCTTCCCTTAAGGATTTAGGCTTGGGGGTGTTTTCAGCATCAGGGAAATCCGCAAGCGTTACAATTCTTCCAAGAGAACTCCTACAAAGGCCAAATATATGAATCTCAGACATCAATCTATGACAAAAAAAAAAAAGACAAAACATACCCAAAAGCAATTAAAGACATGTTCTGTTAATAAATAAAAAAATTATAAAAAATTAAAAATGATATCCGTATTTGACCAAGGCATAATAATGATAAATTTCTAATAAAAAAAAAAAGCTCTTCTTACAAGAGGAATATGGATTAAACCAAATAAAAGACCAGTAATAACGTGTCTTCGTAATGCATGTTGATATTGTCGGCTCGCATCGACATCAAAATATATCCAATGCAAACTATAAGCTATTACTAGACCTAGAATTGCCTATATCAGAGAACAGTTAAATAATGATTATAATGGTTATCGTGTTTTAAAAGGCGCTCACAACAAGCTATACCTTGGCAAGGAAAACGTCAGGATATTTATTTAAGCTGGCATAAATCACACTAAAAATCTATGAAATCAATAATTGTCAATATGTTATAATAAGTATTATAAACAAGTATATAACTTAAAGAATAGTGCTTACACTTTCACCCAAACAAACAACCGTAAATAATCCTAATCTTTCACTGTAATGTTCAATATTCACGGCAGTTCTGTATTCCGTAATTTTAAGTATAGAAAACATATCAGTCCATTTCCAATGAAATTCAGTTCCTTTTGTTTTCATTGCCTTATGTGGAGAAGGTGGCGATAATTTGGTTGAGTCCATTGTCAAGGTTGGTTCGTCTGCGGATTCAAAATCTCTTGTATGTATGTGATTCGCTGGATTCTTAGTTCCGTAACGATAATATAATGGCACAAAACCTAAGTAATACAGGTGATAAGTTATAAAGTTAAATTTTACAAGAAATATAAAACTCTATTAATAATTCATGGATAACTTACCATACCAAAATAATTCTTATAATTTAATTTAATTTGATTATTAAATTAATAAATCCGATAAAATTAATCAAAAAAAAGACGGTGAAATCAACAAACCAAATGCAACAGAAACCCACAACATAATAACAAAATTGTTTTGTGCAAAAATCGCAGCAAACCAAATGATAGAAGGAATAATAATTCCCCATGCAGTAGTGGTAAAATGTATCCTAAACATCGGAATCCACATTGCATATACTACATACAGTAACGCGTATGTTAAGCGCGCAAGTACATATGATGCTAAAAGATGAAAAAGAAAATTATGAGTATATTAATTAATTTACAAGATATGAACCTTTAAAAGATAAGTTTTAATTCGGATAGCAAACATACAAATAAAGATGGCTGCTGTTGAATCAAATATATCTGATGCGTGAGTACCCATTACAATTAGAAGTACCATTTCCTGTTATGAAAAATGGTTGATTAATCTTTTAGAGAAAGATGAGTTTTAAAAGTAAATATATTAAATCCTACCCATAGAAGGAGGAACTTTTCGATAAGGTCCTCTATTGAATTTAGATCGAATTAAAAGATATATATTTACCACAAAAACGATACACAAATTACAGCTACAATAGACTTACTGAAATTGTACATACCTGAACTATAAATGTTTAAATGAGCACAGGTATCTGCCCACAAGCGCCATATAGGATAACTACGTATATTATTGTTGTATAAAACAAATAAGTAAACATTATTCACGCCCACCGAGTTGAGACGATAAATTTTTATATAGTAGATTCCTACAAGGTTAGAAAAAATTTTTGCAAACCATTTTTCGAAATGTCATGTATCAGCATAGATCCTAAATTGCTAACCACAGCCACAAATATTAAATCCCAAAATAATTCTGAATAACTAGATGATCTTTCATCAGCTTCTCTATGCAAAACGCCTTTATACCAATATTGCCTAACTCTTGGTTTTCTCTGAATCGTGAATTCAAATAAAATGAATTTATCATTTGATTATATATAAGTTTCTGCTAAATATTAATTTAATTACCGTTAATCTTTCACCATCATCTTCGTCAGCTATAATTTCCAACTTTTGCAAGTTGCCGAATGTATGAACTGACAACAATAAACATAAGAGAATTTGTCAAAATATTATAAATACATTAATAATATACACAACAGAATAAATAGCTTACTTGTTGCATGAATAGTTTGTTCTGAAGTATCACTACCATGACCTAATCCTTTTAATTCTTCAACTAAATGGTCAAGTTGTTTAGCTACACTTTCTGAATTTTCCAATGCTTCGGCACGCTCCTGCTCTAAACGAATTGAATTCAATTTCAATTCATCTATTTTTGCTTTTAATGCAGCGACCTAAGAAGTATGGTTAATTACCTAAATACGGAATAAAGACATAGGCCCGAAGAACACTTTTTTTTAACTTACATGTTCAGGTGACCCTACGACACAACATGCTGGTGCAGTTTTACCACTTAATAATTGATCCTCTGTTTCTACCACTACAACTTTTTTCCCTCCAATTTCTAAATTTTTTGAGTATTCTACTGCATTTTTGTCACAATTTAATTTTGATCCATCATTTTGCAATATTTCATTAGAATTTGGTAAATCATCATTAATTTCTGTTATCACATTATCATTATTAGTGGTAGATTTTGTCGTATCTTGCGGATCTGTCATTATGAATAAGGTAAATTAAAGTAAAAAGAATTTCGAAATAACTTACCCTTTTTTTATACCTTTCACTAAAAATTGTACTCATAGAATACTACCCGAAATGTATAATAACTTAATAATGACGGGTATGGATTTCCTCAACGGGTACGCAGTACTACGTACCCCTTTACAAATAACCGAATTTATGTGTACGTACGAGTACACAAATACGTATAGCACGCAAATGGAAACTGGGAAGTATACGTAGAATTCTAGAATGATTACTTGCATTGAAGATACTTAACGACATTTAATGCATAAAATTTCTTGTTTTGGCATAAATCAAAAATCATACGTATATTATATCGACTATTATTTACGTATTTTAAAATACACGGCTTTTTTATCGCAGCTTTCAAATGGTTGAAAATGGTACACTCGAACACTCGATTATCTTAGCATGTTGATGGAAAATGATGTGGTGTCAAGCATGTGTATTATTTATTTATTGTGTATAGTATATATTTATACTGTATAGTATACTCATTTATACTTGTGAGTACAATACTCTAAAAAATTTTTTTATCCTTATTAATGAATAAATTCGTCGAGCTGCTTGGATTTTTTATTCAAGTTATTAAAAAAATATATGATCAGTATAAAAATAACTATGTGGCATAATGGCCACTTTATAATCGGAATGTTCATTAAATACATCAAGAAATAGAGCCATCATCCTTGTTATGAGTCATTATTGACATAATTGCAAAATGATCATTTCAAGGAGGATTTTAAAACCAAATCAGATATTAGCAGCTATTAAATATGTTTATTTAACATTGCCATTAATCACCAAATAAATAATCTTGTCCTTGTATATGAGGCATGTTATAAAAAATGAGATCAAACTCAAGGAGGATTTTAGAAGCTAAAATCAGACATAGACAATTATCTAGATGGTGTTCTGATATTTCTTGTGATAAGACTAAAAATATTCATTTTCATCATCATGTATAATTGCCAATAAAGTATACTTTCTTTACTTTTTTTGATATCTAAAATATTCCGAATTCCTTTTTCTGATTAAAATTTCTGCCTTAATCAAGCTTTTTGAGGCTAGCATATATCCAGGAGTCTACAATACTTTTTTAGGAAGTGTGCGTAACTATCCTGCTACAAAAGATGGATAAGTCTTTTAAGCAGACTTAAAGGATTCGAGTTGCTCTATAACATATTTGGGTGATGGACTAGGAAAACCTGCCTTCGACACTTTTTCAACAATTTTGAGATTTTTGATTCAAATTAAAGTGCTGGTTTCTATATATATGTATTTCATTTTTTTACCCTACGTTGCTTTAATAATTTATCGACTTAATCAAATTAGATTGGTCAATCAGTGTTTTATAGTCACATGACATTGTTTATTCAGTAATTGATATCATTGTAGAAATTAGTTTATTAATTAATATCGAAATGAATTAATAAAAAACATACGTTCATCACAATAACGTTCAGTGTATTTATTTAATTTTTAAATTTAAATATATAAAATAAATAATTCTATTTTTAAAAAATATGGTATTCTCTAGCAATAAAACAATGGTAGATTTGTCAAAGGGCCTTCACATCCTCATATGGCAGATTTAGCTCACCTCCTGTAAGGAGGGCCTTCACACCGAGGCAGAATTAGCTCGCCTCTAGTGAGATTCGAACGCACGACTGATAATTAACAACCACACGCCCTAACCAACACTCTCCAAATCCGATAATTACCAATGTTTTTCACGCAACCCCTTAAAACCATCAATTGTCTTGCAGATCATTTCTAATTTTAGTAAATCCATGTTCCACTCCTATTTAAATAAATTTATCAATAAAGAAATTTTAAAAACAATGCCTCGTCAATCAAAGAATACGCCTAAGATCCGTGCAAATCGACGCCAACGAGCTAAAGGTACTTTTGCTTTGTCCCGTGTCTTGGATATAGTCCAAAATGAAAATCGGCAGTAAGTTGACTTTGTTAAACCAATAATTTAAAGAGATCCAAGTTAAAGAAAAACTTATATTATAGATTGGCACAAAAAGATGAACAATCAAGAAAACGAGTACAAGAGTTGGAAGAACAATTAGAAGAACGGCAGGAACAAGTTGTAGAGATAATACAGAGGAATTGGATGAGAGAGGAAGAGCATAGTAGATTGGTGGTAGAACGGAATAGGTTGCGAGCTCGGATGGAGAATTTAGAGAAAAAAGTAGAAGAAATAAGAAGTAATAATATTAATAGTGTTAATAATAGATGGGATTGGTTGCAAAAATGTTTTTCTTTTAATTAGTTGTATAAATAAAATTTTATTGTTTTGAAATATAAGCTCTGTTTCAAGCCCTGATCAGTTTGTTTCTTTTATGACTTCTGGATTCAATATTAAAATGGCCGATTTTAACCCTACGTTCTGTTCCAGACTTAATTAAACATTCGTATATTTAATGTTTTAATTTTAATTAGCTAATATTTTACTTAATTTCTTCCATGGGCATTATTTTACTTAATTTCTTCCATGGGCATTATTTTATACGATAATTGGTAGATAATAGCATAATTCTCTTATCTTTTGCAGAAATTTTATTTTATCGCAGAATTAATCTAAAATTCAGCCAATATCCAATCAAATTGTGTGGTTTTCGAAAGAATAAACAACTAATTACCACAAAATACGATCATAGTTTTTGAGAAGTTTCGGTACATTGGTAATTAATCTAAATTTTGCGCAGTAATAAAATTTATTTAAAAACGTATCATTTTACTGACAATCACTTCACAAATCATGTTCGATTAAATATTAATCATCACACTATGTGATAGGGTGCTCAGTGAAGCGATTGTCGATGAAATGATACGTATCCAAAGTTTTAATGCAGAATTTGTGTAAAAATCGAATTCTAACACCAAAATTTTATTTTGCAGAATTTGGATCTAATTGCCGCAGAAAATCATCGTCCCTGCTCTAGGGCCCAGTTCCGGGCTCAAAAAACAATATATAGTTTAGTTATTTCGGAGGATTCTATAAAAAATTTAGTAATTCCGAAATGTTTGGCCAAATTACTTTTTTCCCAAAAATAATTTAGGCAAACATGTATAGGAAATTCCACTATGATAAAAATATATATACAATCGACGCTAATGATGGGTGACGAATGACGAAACCATTTCTTCAAGCAACCTCAGAGTTGACGAAATGATGAAATTCATGACGAATAATAAGTTTTATATGTAATATATTGCATTTGGACGTAATAAAATGTAAGGATGAGATTTTTCTCTTATTAATACCCGCAAACGGCAAATAACTGCCGTGAAATCTGTGACAGGTTATGTCGATCATTGCTGATTTATCACAAGAACATGTGTAAACCGAAAAATTGGAACAAACAGGTTGACCCTAAATAAAAAATTTTAGTCATAAAAATATATTTAAATATCGAATATCGAGTAGATTTTTTATGCTCTTTTGATTTGCTGATCGACATAACCTGTCACAGATTTCAGACGTGCAATTTTTTTGCATCACTATACTACTATGTATTTATCCGGATATCCGAATATCAGTAGTAAAACGGATATCCGACAGATAAATGGATAAACGGATAATGGGTAGGTATTAAATAAATGTAATTTTTGTTTTATATGTGTGCATCGATACTTGTTGCACCACTGCTGCACCATTAAGTAATCATATAAGTTCAAAGCATTGCGCCAGTGGCGACGCCACCTGCACCAACAACCATAATCGATACCCATAAAAATCCGCAATTAGTAATGATCATTAGTGATCCTGCCTATATGGGTAGTTTGCTACGTAGGAAAGCCACCGTTTGACTAATTTTAAAATTTTAATTCAAAGTTAAAGTACCAGTTCTTATTTAAGCGCTATACAATTTTTATTATAAAATATGAATCAATTCTTCGAAGATAGATATTCTATAAATAGAATAACAACCAATCAGAAGATTTGGTAATTTAATTTGCCGAATTGAAATCAAGCATGTGACCTTGTTCGTACAAAAAATACCAGTGTTAGGTTTGGACATTGGACATGAACATTGGACCAATCAATTGGACTCTATTGGACATTGGCCAATGTCCAATAGTAATATAAATAAAAAAAGAATTTATTAATCTATACATATATGTATTAATATATATTTTAATTTAGTTTTATAATGTTTTTTAATTTAATTTATGGATTATTATATATTAGTGATGCTAACAATATTTATGATAAAATATAAACTATTCACATGATAGATTAGTACTGTTAATATTTTGAAAACTATTAAAATATAAACTGATAAAACTTCATATGTATATGATAAAGCCATTAACTAAGAAACTAAAAAGCTTATAATTATTGTTATTTAATAAACTTAATTAATATTAACATTTGTATAGTTTTTTTAAAACTAATTATTTTTATTTACAATCTTTAAGACCTCTTTAACATATTTGATGTTTTGAAGTTCATAATTTCACAACCTTTAATTAGTTTAAACTGCTGTTTAAAATTTTTTATTATATGAATTTGTGTTACTAAAATTAAAAAATAATAAAATCTTGTTTTGTATATCTTCAATATTAATGTTTTAGAAATTATAAATATATTAAAGTTCATTAAGATAAAACAGAAACAGAAATATTTTGATTTATAGTATATAATTTAAATACAATGTTGTCAATTAATTATATTTTACTATTTTATTACTGAATTACCAAGTATAGTAATTTAATAAGTTCAATATAATTTAGTAGTTTCTAACTACTAAACAAGTAAAACAATAACATTGCTTAGATAAAATATTTGTATCATCAATTTTAAAAACAAATTAACTAAATATATTATTTTATATTTAAATTTCTTTAATAATTATTATATTGGTTACTAATTTTATCTTGTCAAAATGTTTATAAATATTATAAATAACAACATTTGTTAGTTAAATAATAAAAATTGGTATTTTTCTTTTTTTATATTTAAAAATTTTTTTGCATTAAATAGAATAGATAGTATTTTTGTTTTTTTATCAACAATATATATATTTTATATTTTTGTTTAAAATTGATAATAAAATTAAAATTTTATTAATTAAAAAAATTAAATAGTTAGTAATACTAATGTAATTTTATTTTTAAAATAATTATTTTATATAAATTAATATTTTAAGATTTTTAATAGTAAGACAGGTTATTAACAATATAATTGTTTAAAAAACTAAAATAAAAGATTTAATTCTTTTAATTTTTTAATTTTTTTTGTTATAAAAGTCTAATGTTTATAACTGTTACTGTTTTTATTATATTTTTAATTATATATTACATATAAGAATAAGTGTACAACTAGCTATAAATGCAACTTTTAATTGATTATTTTTTTATTTTTGTTGTATTTGCAGTTTGAAATACAAATATAATTTTTTTATTAAATTATTATAGTTAGTTTAAATACATTTTAACTATTTATAAAACAATTTAATAGATTTAAATTTATTACTAAATATATTATACTTTAAAATAAATATTTTTTTAAAAATACAGCTTTTAAAAATATGTATTCTAATAAAGTAAACAAGTTGTCAACTTTCAAATAGCAGATCTAATATTCAAATTATATAAAAAATAAAAATTTAAAAAATTAACCTGTATTATATTGTTAATTAGTTAGATTATTATATCTGTAATTTTAAATATACAGTCAGACCTTTCTAAATGCTTTCTTCTAAATACTACACCTTTCTAAATACATAATAAAAGCATGAACCTGTTATAGGACTTATAGATAAATGCACATTTTTTATTCTGTAAATATATATTATTTTTTTGATCTATTATATATCAAGTTCCTCTATAAATGCACATACATGATAATAGACTAATCAAAATTATAATAATAGACCAATTAAAATTTATTATAAATTGAATCTTTGGAAGTCATACATGTATTTAAAAATAAGCATATTTAAGATTTTATATATATTTGAGCCAATTAAATGGACCAAACACTAGACCAAAGACAAAACAATGCTATAAAAAATATATATATATATTTAAATTTCAAATTTATAATTAATTAGACTTTTTATTTAATAAATAATATTACATCTTTTTGATAGTATATCTACTATTTAATAGATTTAATTGCAAACTACAGAATCTTTATTAATCAAATACAACCTTTATTTGATAAATAAAAATATATATATATCTCATGATTCTATTCTATGATATAAACTCTTAGCAATATACTATACTCAGAATCAGTATTGTCATTGAATATATGTCTATTGCCAATACTGTCTAGGATATATTATGGATTTAAAACTAGTAGACCCAAACTCAAGACAGAATTAAATTATTCATTATAGTAATTTATTACCAATTTATATTTTATTTTCATTTATGCTTTGTAGCTCTATTTCTATTTTGTTATTCATTCTACTTTGTTAACTACTTATATTTTGTTACTCTATTCATGCTTTGTCATTCTATTCATATTTTGTCATCTTATTTATACATTGTAACCTTATTCATATATAAGAATATGAAAAATTTAATTCAGTTTCAGCTTGACTCCAAAAGTCAAGTCTTTGTTAATGTTCAGTTCCAAATCAGATTTGGGACTTTAACTCATATCTGCACTTGCATTTAGTATATTTAAAAAATATAAATACATATAAAATATGCATGAATATATATTTTTTATGCTAAATGCATATACAAATGCAAGTTTAAGTTCTAAGTCTAACTTGAGATTACACTTTACCAAAGACTCAACTTTTAGAGTCGAGTTGAAACTAGGATTTAAAATCTTATAATAATTTGCCAAGTCTGCAGCCTATTGTTTAATATGTTTTTCTTGATTCATCTTATTGTTTATATTTGATATGTTTTTCTTGATTCATCTTATTGTTTACTATACTAGCCAGTTATACTATAGATTAAAAATAATATTTTTGAATGGCTGGCATTTCAATATAGTTATTTAAGCTTTAGTTGGGATCAGACCAGACTTTTTATATCTCTGTTCATATGTTGTTATTCATTTCTACTTTGTCATCCATTCATGCTTTGTTGCTCTATTGTCTTACCAATTATTGCTTTGTTGCTCTAATTACTTTGTCATTCTATTGTCTTTTCAATCATTGATTTGTTGTCTCAATTACTTTGACATCTTATTATCTCTCTAATTATTGCTTTGTTATTCTAATTACTTTGTTGCTTATAAATACTTCATAAAGAATTGATTATAGTTAAATAGTAGATTTTATTAGTTACCAGAATCACAAACATTCTTAT